TTTTTTTTTTCATGGCTTCTGTTTTCTTCTACGTCCGTTATTTTTTTGTTTTCAATTGCGTTCCAATTAGAAGAATTTGCAGTTAATCAAAGACGTTCTTGTTTTCGAAAAAAAGTCAAAGTTTCGATTAACTTTCCTTTTAGTGGCGTTGTCCGGAATAATCCCATTAGCATTGCATTATGCATTGCATTCTCCATTAGAGGTTCACCGCATGATGCGCCTAGCGGAGGGTTTGCTTGAGTGTGCTCGAATGAAAGCGTGGTTTGTGAAGCTGATAAATGAATATGATCGAAAGATTCAGTCGTAATAACGTCATAGCAATTGTGCTAAGGATTGTGAAGAAATATGGGCTCTAAAAGAGTACAAACAATCCCATTACTTGCTTTCCCAAGCATATTTGCTCATTCTAACCACGGAGTAGAGCAGTTCGAGATTTGAAGGTTTGGCTACAAGTAGCAGAAAAGTAATCTGGAAAGATGTTGAAATTTATGGTTTTGCCACGCCACTAACATCATGTCTAGGTTGATTTTCAAAAGAGTTAATCGATAGAAATGCCATTAAGCGATAATGTTCGAGAATAATGGTCGTGGCTGCGAAATTCCCGCCATCAGACTGCTTTACATATACCATGTAATGTTTATCAGTTGGTTTTTTCGCCATATGTCCGATGTCAAAAATTCCTATTCTCTTACGCATCTTTATTGAAGCAAGTGGCCAAATTATAAATGGCATTTCAAAATTTCAGTCCTAGCTATGTTATTAAATTTAATAAACCTTTTTATTAAATATTCTCGAGCTGGTGGGTGGTGAAAAACAGCGTCGTTACCTCACATGCGCCGTCTATGAATAGAACTGCCGATAGATCTGTTAAGTTCCGTCGAATCGTTCATAACTAAGGGAGTTTTAATGGCATGTATTGCTTTCGTTTCCCTGGAAAGGCAGAAATATACCTGGCCCGTGCAATTCATTTCTAGAGAAAATTGCGTTCAAATGCTGTGGGAATTGTAGTGGGAGTTTGAGTATGGCGCATTTTGATGCATTTTTGAGTGGCATTTCCTGGCTTTGGGTTTCTTTGTTTTTCACATCATTTTTGCATTTCCCTAGTAGGAGTAAACTGTTGAAGTACTTTTCTGTGTAGCAAAACTGAAAACTGGGCAGTTTTGTGCCTTGCACATGTTGCCCAGCAACATCATAAGTTCTTGACCAAAATCGGTCTTATTTGTCCTTCACATTGATGAGTGACATTTCCTGTGTTGTCGTTTTTATTGGGAGGTAAATATATAAGTTGAGGTGATTGAAGCTAATCGAAGCTGGCTAAAAATATTTGAGGTGATCTTTTGCATATTTTGATTTACTTCTTTTAACGCAATCAATACAAAGTAAAGAATGAATGCTGTGGATGTGGAGTTTTCATGGCCCTGAAAGTCTGGCCTGATTGTTAAGATTGGTATCCGAATTTTTCAGGAAAACACATCCCATACCGAGAACACAAGTCATTAACTGGTACGGCACGGTATATGTCCATCAATACCCATCTCGGCAAGGAACAATCACGGCGAGATGACTTAGAAGCCCTCGGACACATGTTCATGTACTTTCTCAGGGGTAGTTTGCCATGGCAAGGTCTAAAGGTAAGCAGAACTTTGGAACTTCGCGTTTCACTAGTTTCATTGCTTTTTCGAAGCTTCGTCTTCGCTACTAATTACTAATGGTTCTCTGTAAGGTAGTAGCATTGTGTTAATCGATGATTTCGTTCTTATTCAGGCAGACACATTGAAAGAGAGGTATCAAAAGATTGGAGATACAAAACGGCAAACAGCCGTCGAGGTGTTATGTGAGGGATTCCCAGGTATGCTGAAGTTCTAGCTCTAATAGCAATATCATTATGTTAACATTTTAAGTCAGCGGTATGCTTTTCAGAGGAATTTGCTCAATATCTCCGTTACTCACGACGACTTGATTTCTTTGAAACACCAGATTACGATTACTGTTATAATTTATTTAAAGCTGTACTTGATCGATTAGGAGCCAGTTATGATTACGAGTTTGATTGGACGCCCAAGCTCAATAATGTGGTTAGCATCATTCAGTTTTCTTTTAATGTGATTCTTGACGATATTGTGCGAATTAATTAGATTTCTGTGATGAGGGAAATTGATTTGACTTTTTTTTGGATATCGATAAACACTTTATATATTTCAGTCGACTCCCTCCGGTTCATTGCATACTGCTGAGACGAAGGAGAGCAAAAGAGGTTGGTTTCTTTCTCCTCCAGTTGTTCATTTTTTGTAAGGGTGTTGTTCCGTTGAGATTATTTTGGTTGTATATACCGTATATGGGGAGAGTTTTAGTCTCAGCGTTTTCTTGAAAGTTCTTAACCTGTTTATTCGCAGCTCCGCATTCGAAATTGCTAACAATTATCGTTTTTCTTGAGTGATGCGAGGTCCTCATTTCTGCCTTTCAACGGTTCATACTTTTCAAACGCAAGCTTCAATGTAATTAACGAACACTGCTATAGCTCTTTCTGTTTATACTTATTGATATGGTTCAAAATTTACGTAATTTTTGACGCTNTTGATTTCGTTCTTATTAAGGCAGACACATTGAAAGAGAGGTATCAAAAGATTGGAGATACAAAACGGCAAACAGCCGTCGAGGTGTTATGTGAGGGATTCCCAGGTATGCTGAAGTTCTAGCTCTAATAGCAATATCATTATGTTAACATTTTAAGTCAGCGGTATGCTTTTCAGAGGAATTTGCTCAATATCTCCGTTACTCACGACGACTTGATTTCTTTGAAACACCAGATTACGATTACTGTTATAATTTATTTAAAGCTGTACTTGATCGATTAGGAGCCAGTTATGATTACGAGTTTGATTGGACGCCCAAGCTCAATAATGTGGTTAGCATCATTCAGTTTTTATCTTAATGTGATTCTTGACTATATTGTGCGAACTAATCAGTTTACTGTGATGAGGGAAATTGATTTGACTTTTTTTGAATGATATCGACAAACACTTTGAATATTTCAGTCAACTCCCTCCGGTTCATTGCATACTGCTGAGACGAAGGAGAGCAAGAGAGGTTGGTTTACTTCTCCTCCAGTTTTTCATTTTTTATATGGGTGTTGTTCCGTTGAGATTATTGTGGTTGCATGTACCGTGTATGGGGAATTTTAGACTCAGCGCTTGCTTGAAATTTCTTAACCTGATTATTCGTAGGTCCGCATTCATAATTGCTACACAATTATCGGTTTTCTCGAGTGACGCGAGGTCCTCATTTCTGCCTTTCAACAGCTCAAACTTTTCAAACGCACACTTCAATACAATTAACGAACACTGCTATCGCTCTTTCTGTTTATACCTGTGAATCTGGTTCAAAATTTAAGTCATTTTAGACTCTGAACACTGAGAGTTCATCGGATCCTTCAAGTATTGACTTTGCCTCATTAGGAATGTATCTTTCTGTAATTTTAACTCTCATTAAATGCATACATTGAGCCCTTGTTTTCGGCCCTTTATTTTTGCCCCTGGTATTTAATAGAACACGCATCTTCTGATCTTAAATTTATCAGATTTTTCATTTATTATGTCTATTATTTTGTTTTGTTTTATTATTTATTATTATTATTTATTATATTTTATTACTATTATTATCTAATTTATTTTTCATTCTTGCTTTTCGTGCTCAAGAATAGATACAAACTGCGACTCTTTCTAGTTTCAATATTGTTTGTTTAAAGCAGCCTTGAGTGAGTCATGATTTTCCGTGCTTGTCAGGGAAGTTGGTGCTGCTCTTACATTCTAAACTTCCTGTACAAGCCTTCAATTAAAAAGAAGCATCCAAGGCTCAAACGGAACAATACCTTTTTGTTTTTTTTTATATTCCTCGATCTTATTCTACCTAGTACTTATCGGATCTTCAGAGCGGGCAGATGCTCTCAAGCCCAATCATGCGTCTACCCATCCGTTTGGATCAACACAGGTAAGCTCTCCTTATTAACTTGTTGTCTTTGCAATGGTTACCAATTCGAAAACTTTTTTTCTTCAAAACACTAGACGTTCCTTAAGTCTTTTTAGCGTCATCAAATGATCACATCTGCTGGTACATCACCCCAAATTTGCCAATCATAGTTCAGATAAGAACGACATCCGTGGGTGCTGTGACTTGTAATGGTGTGCGACATTTGTCAGACTGTTTTCTGTTGGAATTAGGGGACCCTTTTCTGTCCTATTTGGAACGGCTTTTAGTGGGTGGCGCATTTGGAAGTCATTTATGCTTATCCCATTAAGCTCGAAGCACGCACAAGGTCGTTCCAAGATTCTTTGCCAAGCATACTTCTAATGCATCATTTTGTTCTTTTTCTTGTTAAGTTACTTCTGAATTGATCTCCAAATGCTAGCAGGTTATGATGTCTGTAAGCAGGCCCTAACTTTATGACAAGAGCCAGTGGACCTGTATGTTTTTCATTTTGCAGACGTAACTTATGGTTTTTGTTGATTTTTTGTTAGTTGCTAGCACGATAGGGTTATATTAGCATTAGTCCTTGCGTAGCCCTCAAAAACTTACATCAGCATAGAGATAGGATGTTAGCGAATACGAGATTTAGTGCCGTGTTTTGTGGGAAGAAGGGAAGTGGCCATACCTTACCTCGGTTGAGACAGCTGTATCAGGTCTCGGTAAATCCAAATGCGGTTACAGCTCTGCGTCAGCCCCGGTGAGCTTATTATTAGGTCGTGAAGAAAGTTCTTGCGGTTTT